GCTGTCCACCTCTGCGGTATGAAGGGCTGAAACAATCCTGGAGTCTCATAGACCAGGATGCGGTGGGCTATGAAATTTAACTATTTAACATCTCTTTTGAAAGAAAAGGGACATCAACTTGAAATATTACTTGGACGTTATACTGCTTACATGGCACTTTAATATACTATGATCATAAGCTAAAAGATAATAAGATAATAAAAATATCAGTTATATCTAAAAGGATTGTGTGATTAAATGAACTGCATTTATTACTATCTAACACTCAATCAACTTCAAAAAATAGACGAGACGGTCTTCCTACCTCTTCTTCAGAGAAAGGAACTGCTGCCCCACTGTCCGTTCCAACCTCCCCTTCATCCATCAAGGTGTCTTCACATAAAAGCCGCTTGCTGATCAACTGCTGATGCCTCCGTGCACTCCGTAGAGCTGCAAACAAAGCAGCACATTGTTATCAAACAGCCGCAATACAAGGAGCAAAACAAAGGAGCAAAAAGAGCTGGTTAAATGTTAATTATGATACTGCCACACAAAGCAAAGTAATATGCAACTCGCTCAATAAAGCTGCGGAAGGAAGTCACAAACCTGACTCGCGCTCTCTCCTCCAAGTCCGCAGGTCCTCCACGCTGCAGTTGCGTGGCCCCCAGCGGCTTTTTCTCCAGCTCCTTGGACCAGCGACTCCATGGGAGGCAGGAGCTGCCGCTGCTTCAGCACCCGGGACGGACCCAAGAGAAATCATAGCTCCTGCTCTGAGCCTGGGCTGCACCCCTTAGGCAGCATAGGTATGCAACATATAGAGCACCCCTCCTAAAAATGGGGGCAGAGCTGTCCCTTTAAAAGGACCAGCAGCCGGTCACTACTGTCGGCTCCCAACTCGTGTCCACAGAGCCACACGTTTGCGTGCAATTATTATTATATATTTATTTGCACCCCGCCTTTTTCCCTGACATGGACTCAATATGACTTCCCCCGCGCGGGCCACGGCTCAAGGGCCTTCTCCCTCTTCCCAGCAAGGGGCTGCCTCCCAGAGGAGCCGGGCCTGCCTCTCAGGGGCCAACACCAGCGAGGCCGGGAGGAGGAGGAGGAAGGCGGGGAGGTCTCTGAATGGCAAGAGAGATGGACAAGCAGAGCCGCCGCAACCGGAGTGCGGGCCGGGAGAGGCCTTGGTCCAGGCACAGAGCAACTTCGCGCGGTTGCCAGGACAACAAAGCCAGAGCTATCAGACGGGGTCGCGGCCGGAGGAAAGGAAGTAAGGAGAGGGAGGGGCAGCCATCTTGGCGGATGTTTCAACTATCGGCTCAGTGCGCCTGCGCACTCCGTCCGGGAAAGGAAACTCAATGAGGAACCATAGACCCAAAAAGAGTAGAGTCGTCGAGCTCCCTGGATGAATGAGTTCCCTTGTCACATTGCGATGTTATTTTCAACCGTCTCCCCGGGGCAGAAGTGAGGGATGCCCTTAGGAATCCGAGGTTTTTCTTTAGCATCATTTGGAAGCGAGATAGGAGCAAAGAGACGGGTCTTATAATTTATACTGCCTATTCCAATGCACACACAGTCCTCTTACTGAAGACAGGAAGGATGCGTTTGGCAGAAAGCTTGCGACTTACAACAGCCCTGCAGGGCAGGCCAGTGTTTAATATTGGGACTGGCGGGGGGGGTCTAACTCAGGCTGAGAGGGCAGTTTGCCACAGCCCTGCAATACACGCCACTGCCCTCCCCCGCGATCAAGTAAAACAATAGAAATACTTTACTAACTGACCAACCATGTCGGTTCTGTACCGCCCCCCCCAAAAAAAATCCTGACTTCGCCCATGAAGCAACGTAAGGTTTTTTTCCCTTTTCCCTTTTGTGAACTTCAGTAGCCCTGTGGCAAGAAAGGATATATTGTGAGGGTAGCTTATGATAACCCTGCAATGAAGCCTACTATTAATGCTACAAGTTAAATATTTTTAGGGTGTGAGAGGTGGTTTGAGTTACAGACAAAACTCCCCCAAAGAAAGCACCCCACAGGTTGCAGCAAAGGCGTCAATCTACTCATATTAATGCTTTGTTTGGGGTGGGGACGATGTTGAAATAAAGAAGTACAGAAATACCATATTTTTTGCACCATAACACTCACTTTTTTCCTCCTAAACAGTAAGGGGAAATGTCTGTGAGTGTTATGGAGGGAATGCCTACGGGTGGCATGCCTACGGATTTTCCTCCTCTAAAAACTACGTGCGTGTTATGGTCGGGTGCGTGTTATAGAGCGAAAAATACGGTAATGCTCTTTGATGGGACCTCTAAATAAATCATGCTTGGTTATCATACCAGCTATGGGAAAGAACTTTAATATATGAAAGAAATATTGATAAGTTAATGAATAGAGAATTCTATTAGCATAGAAGAGGGGAATTTCGGTGATGAAATGGCTAAAATAGCTTAGGTTAATTTAAGCATAACATTTTGACTGCTGATAGTAAGTAGAATTAGAAGGCTGAGGACTTATCCACACCAGAGCAGCTCATGGATCTGCACCGTTCTAAGCAAGGAATTTTGAGAAAAGTCATATACAAAGTCCAGTGTTCACCATTAGAATATACACATAGACAGTATACATTTGAAAAGGGACCCCACCTTATCTAACCACAGCAACTGCTGGTTTAGTGTGATTCTTACCAGCTGATTGGCCTGATCAACCAATTCATAGGGTTGATTATTAGAATAATGAGTGTGTATTGAAGTATTGCTTATAAGAGTTGTATTGATCATAAGATGAATAAAGCATCACAAAGGTATTTTGCGTCTGTCTTCTCTTGCATCTGTAACAAAAAATACCAGTAGTCACTGGCTGTATAAAATCCCTTTTTAGGACAATCAGGTACATCAACCATGACATGATGAAAGCTGGCAAAATCAGTATGGTATATTTGGTGATCAAGAACCTGATTGGCTAACAGTAAAGGTAAAGGGACCCCTGACCATTAGGTCCAGTAGTGACCGACTCTGGGGTTGCGGCGCTCATCTTGCTTTACTAGCCGAGGGAGCCGGCATACAGCTTCCGGGTCATGTGGCCAGCAGGACTAAGCCGCTTCTGGCGAACCAGAGCAGCGCATGGAAACGCCGTTTACCTTCCCGCCGGAGCAGTACCTATTTATCTACTTGCACTTTGACGTGCTTTCAAACTGCTAGGTTGGCAGGAGCAGTAAAGGGAAGTCCTCTTTCTGCATATAACTGTTAGTTCTCCTTCTGCACAAAACTGCTGCATTATGGGGAAGCCTTGCTCCTCTTTTCTTGCATTCTGGAAAGTCTCGCTTACAATCTGCTTCTGCACAAACTGTACAAAACTGTTCCAAACACCAGGACATTCTTTTCCTTGTTCAGTCATCCTAAGCTCATGGAAAACAACATGACCTGCTCTTCATGCCTAGCTGACTACAGAACTTGATTGTTATATTGTTTCATGTTATGATCCATCATTAGTAATTGTTTGTGCCATATTAATCTCTAGTTACAATTTAATTAGGAGGCTTCCTGCCTGTCTAGTTCTAGCTTCGATTCCCAGCCTTTAATCCATCGATGATAAATGATCACATGTAATCCCCACCTCTCACATGTAATTCCCGCCTTAGTACTTATGTTAACCAATCAGCAACAAGTTTCTTTGTGTATCAACCAATCAGCCACAGGCCCACCTGTGGCAATGTTTGTAATATTCAATAAAGGAGGCTCCCAGGGCCCACCCTGACAGACGCCTCATGTTACACCTGCCTCTCTCGTCTCCTGTGATTTTTCATTCCTACAGAGCAGGGACCGAGCAATGGGAGCTCACCCCATCGCAGGGATTCGAACTGCCGACCTTCTGATGGGCAAGTCCTAGGCTCTGTGGTTTAACCCACAGCGCCACCCGCGTCCCCATGATTGGCTAACAACTTCAGGCCAAACCCAGCAGCCAACTGCATGCAGAAGCCTTGTGCTCTACTGCAGGGCCAGCCTTGACAGTAGGCAGAGTGAAGTGGCTGCCTCAGGCACAGATGCTGGGCAATGTACAGTTGTGAGGTGTCTGAGGGGGAGAGAACTGGGTGCCACATTGCCAGTGACCCCTGAGCAAGCCTGCTGCCTTCATGTGTGCTGACCTTTTTGCCAGTGTTGATGTGAAATTTAGTAGCTGTGTCTACTAGGACAACATTTTTCCTTCCCCTCAGGGAGCAAAATACCTTCTTGGACAATGCAGATTAAATGGTTAAAAAAAAACAATTTAATTTTTTTAACACACATGAAGACATAAGTGAGAAAGAACACATCCTTGGTTGTTTCTTTTAGTTTATTTGTGGTCATGCTAGCCTAAAATTAATTGATTTATGTGGACATCTCACTTCCCCACCCCAGAAGATTAAAAAAAACACAGTTCTGTTGAAACTGGAAATTCAAGTCTGTCCATTCCCCGCTCCCTCCTTATCTATGAAGGGAACATGATGGAACTGGTTGCCATCAATATAACAGAAAATGCATATTCATTGCATGTATAGTCACTCACAATTTGTATGCTACAAGTGCCTCCTTGTATTTTGGCATTCCCTCCATGTTACTGAAATACATTTACCGTACTAACCTTTGTGGGCCTTGGTAAAAAACCAGATCTAGTATTATTTACATAGATCCTCATGAATTTGCTTGAGTTTTATATACAAAGCATACAAATTGGTAAAAATGCAAACAAAAATAAGCTTAAAAGCGCTATCAGAACATTATCAGTACTGCACCGCCAATATAAAAATTAGCACAGCACAGCCTAAAATCCAGTACAAAGCAGCACTCAGGAATACGACTTCACTGTTTGCTTTTTATACCACATTAACCACATGCTGTCTGCTCTGAATAGGAGCCAGCCTGGGGTTGAGTAGTCTGGTCTACTTATCTTGTTTTTCTGCAAGGTGGTGGCTGGAATACTAACAAATACCATCCTCTGCCCGGGAGCTAGCCTGACTTTCAGGAAGTGTGTGCAGAATGGATATGTGGAATTAGTAAAACAGATGTAGCTGCTGGGCTACTTTTGACAATAATGCCTTCTGCCTGTTACTTTTCGGAAATGAACTTGAAAGTTGAGATCACTTTCCGTCTCACTATTTCCCAATTTGGAGCTCTTTGTTATGTAATCTTCCTGTGTTGGAAGTTCCTCAAAAGGCTTGTGAAATTCTGTTAAAATAACTAGAAGCAGTTTGGGAGGAAGAACTCAGCTGGAAAGTTAAAACTGAGTAATCTCTGACCCTTTGCTGCTACTGAACACAACGGGACAGTTACTAAGAGAACGTGTTATGTGTGGAAAGGAGCAGAAGGAGATCTGTGGCAGATCTGTGGCAGAAACGAGTCTCAACTTCCAGAGCAGTTGGTAGGTGATTTTTAGCTTTGTTGTTGAAATGTCATTTTTCTCCTCTTAAGCACTAGAGGGCCATTCTGCCACATGTACAGCACAATCCTGTACGTATTATCCGCATATTTTCAGAAGTAAGCCCTGCCACCCGCCCGCCGTGTTCAGTGGTAGCTTTCTTCCAGCTAAGTATGCAAAAGCATTTTGTGATTCTGACATACCTTGCTGGTAAAGAAATGCCATCTCATATGCTACACTACTTTCCAGTTCTATTTTAGCTTTGTGACTACTTCTGAACATAGCAATAATTAAATAGATTTCAGTTCCAGGAGAGCACTAACTGGCAGAATGAAAAAAAAAAAAACCCCAGACACGAACCTTATTATTTTCTAAGGATGAACTATACGTAGTCAGTGGTGTGGGTCTTCCAGGAAAAACTGTACATGCAAATAGGGTGATTTGCATATAGTAATTATCTGAGTGATTTCATTTAGCATGCTTATTTTTACTTGTACTGTATTTAGTAAACAAAGCTATGAACTTTGATAGTGTCAAGCTTGTCTAATATTTAGTTGCAAGTGGCACCCATTGTTATTAAAGAACTTATGAAATGTAAACTTTTCTGCAGAAAAATTAAGCCCTGGAAAATTTTGTGTCAAGTTGTAGCACAAGAGTGTCATTTGTGTCACATTTCTCTCAACAATAGGCTTGTTAGGAGTGTTTCCTTGGCTATGTGTTATTTGAAGTAAGACGGACAGGGCTGTGTCCCCTCTCTCTTTAATTAAAAGTATCCAGGGAAAAGATCCTCTCCTCTCTCCATCTCCTCATTGCTCACAAACACAAAACCTATCTCCTGTTTGTTTTGTTAAGTAAAAAGGTAAAGGTACCCCTGCCCGTACGGGCCAGTCTTGCCATACTCTAGGGTTGTGCACTCATCTCACTCTATAGGCCGGGAGCCAGCGCTGTCCGGAGACACTTCCGGGTCACGTGGCCAGCGTGACAAGCTGCATCTGGCAAGCCAGCGCAGCACACGGAACGCCGTTTACCTTTCCCGCCAGAGCGGTCCCTATTTATCTACTTGCACCCAAAGGTGCTTTCGAACTGCTAGGTTGGCAGGCGCTGGGACCGAACGACGGGAGCGCACCCTGCCACGGGGATTCGAACCGCCGACCATGCGATCGGCAAGTCCTAGGCGCTGAGGTTTAACCCACAGCACCACCCGCATCCCTGTTTTGTTAAGTAGTGAGCAGCAATTTCCTTGCCTACCCTCTTACTGAGGCAAGTGTCCCATTTCTGACTGCAGGTGGCACTTCATGAGATTGAATGTCTTTCCATGCAAAAAATAAAATCAAATAATCATTGTACATAGAAAACTTGTCTATCAGGACAAAGTGCTCTAGCTTCTCCATGGGCTGCTAGTTTTCTGTGTGAGGGAAGTTTTTGCACACACCGCTATTTCACATGGTGTGAGCCTGTGAGGTCTATGTTTCGGCTGGAAATGCAGATGGGTCTGAGAGAGGAGTGGAAACTGGCATAGTGGCGAGTAGCATCACAAGGCCAAACCTGCGCTGTGTCTCCATTATAGTCTCTAGAGGGAAGGAAGGGTATCTTTTTATATGCGACGGCGGCAGCAAAAGTTCTGATTGCGGCAAAATGGAAGAGTAATGAAATCCCCTCTGTACAATATTGGATCCGAAAGCTGACAGAATATGCTGAATTAGACGGTCTATCAGAAAAATTAAGAATAAATCAAAACAGGAATTTGTTTCAAAATGGGAGGTTTTCAAAGAATATTTGAAAAATAAATATAGTTGTTTAAATTCTGTAGCAGCATTCAAGGAACTTCAGTATTAGTTGCAAGGTGGATATAAGAAACTAGATATATAAAGAAAAAGTTTAATTATGATAAAAGTGTGTAATGGCAATAATATGAAATCGAAATATGGAATAGACGGGGAAAGGTTGGGTCTTTAGTGTTAAGACCAATATATGTTTTATTGTTTGTTAAGAAAATTATGTGTCTATGGTTATGTGTCTGTGTGTAACTCGGTATTTGTGTTTTTTCTTTTTTCTTGTGTATCAATAAAAATTATATATATATATATATATATATGCTTTCGTAGATTTTCACGGGTACAGGAATGCAGGTTTTGGTGTCCTCGGGTGTCTTCCCGTGTAAAAGTTGGGGTGTCTAGGCGACGTTTCGACGAGGTCTCACTCGTCATCTTCAGGCTGGTGCTTTCGGTTTCTTGTTACTGGAACAGAGCAGGATCTCAGTGTTTGAGTTCCTATAAATACTGTTGAGGGGGTGTGGTGTATAGCCTCCAATGTTCTGGCACACTAACCTGGGAACTTCCTCTCTGCCCAGAACATTGGAGGCTATACACCACACCCCCTCAACAGTATTTATAGGAACTCAAACACTGAGATCCTGCTCTGTTCCAGTAACAAGAAGCCGAAAGCACCAGCCTGAAGATGACGAGTGAGACCTCGTCGAAACGTCGCCTAGACACCCCAACTTTTACACGGGAAGACACCCGAGGACACCAAAACCTGCATATATATATATATATATATATATATATATATATATATATATATATATATATTTGCTTTCGTAGATTTTCACGGGTACAGGAATGCAGGTTTTGGTGTCCTCGGGTGTCTTCCCGTGTAAAAGTTGGGGTGTCTAGGCGACGTTTCGACGAGGTCTCACTCGTCATCTTCAGGCTGGAGCTTTCGGCTTCTTGTTACTGGAACAGAGCAGGATCTCAGTGTTTGAGTTCCTATAAATACTGTTGAGGAGGTGTGGTGTATAGCCTCCAATGTTCTGGGCAGAGAGGAAGTTCCCAGGCTAGTGTGCCTTTTCTTCTTTTGTTCCTTAATTACTTGAGGGATATCTGGAGTGATTTCTTGAGTGATATCCTGAGTACCACTTGGGTGGGTCATTAGGTGTGGATTAGTTGCTAAAGCCTTCGTGTCTTGACCTCTTGAACTTGGCTTGAACTTGGCTCTGGCTTGGCTTCGTGTATAGGGGCGAGCTGTGGTTTTGTGGCCTGTGCCAGCCAGATCTGTGTAGGGATTGCAGGGGGGTGCAGCATCCGGAGGTGCCACCATGGTTTGGCTACTGGATGGTGTCTGTAATTTATCTGTGGAGAGGGTCTGGGTTTGGGTCTGGTGTGGTTGATTGGTGATGGCGTTCTGTGTGCCTCTGGATCTGGTGTCGGTTTTTGTGGGGAGGGCTAATTTCCAGATGTCTGGCAAGCGGGATGTGTCGTCACGCTTGTTCATGTTGTGAGGGTGTTTCTCTATCTCGATGGCTTCCATGATTATTCTCTTGTGGTGATGTTCCATGTTAAAGAGCAATTTGGAATCTGCAAAATTAATTTCGTGTCCTGTTTCTTTCATGTGTTGGAAAAGAGAGGAAGTTTTTTCCTCTTTTTTGACGGCATTCTTGTATATAGTTTCTAGAGGGAAGAGGCATTTGAGGGTCTCGGGTGCCATGCTACCTCTCCCATCCCCACTAGCAAAGGAATCCAGGATGGGAAAATAGACAAAACCTCAGAGGTGTGTGGCATTACTTGGAGTACGTTGTTCCCACTGACTTCCCATGCGATCTGTCAAATCCTGCAGCATACAGATGGTTGCTGACACTTTAGGAAATAATGTTGTGATTTAACTATGACTTTTCTGGCATGTGCTTTTGTAAAACAAAAAAATCTTTAACAATTTTTTTAAAAAACAACAACAACTGTGGCTTTTCTCTTTTCAGGGTTTGCATCATGCTCAGAACTCAGGCCTTTGTGTTCTCCCTTCTCCTGGGACTGGAACTCCCCAAAGCAAAAGCCAACTGTAACTTTACAGAGTCCCAACGTCACTGTGTTTGTTCACTAGAGGCAAATAACTTCATTCAGTGCCTTCCAGCCACCACATATGAGCTTCGAGGAGGAAATCTGGAACAATTTGCAGGTTCTTCTGGAATCAAGCCAAACCCACAGATAATTGAAATTCTGGAGGCCCTGCTAGTTCGCAAGCTCATATTTACAGACCTCATTGTGCCAGAGGTTCTTGTGCCAGGGTCCCTGCAATTTCTTTCCTACACTCAGGTCTCAGAACTTGAATTTGTAAACTGTACTTTCCTTAGAGCCACTCACTGGAGCCTCCAAGGTTGGTGGGACCTGAAGGTTTCTTCCTTGCGCTTTCACAAAGTGACGGCTGCCCCCCTGGATGACAGACTGAACATGTCCCGCCTGAGAAGGTGGCTGGAGACCCTGCAGAATCTGACAGTTACAGAGTCACAAGTCACATCTGTCCCGTGCGAAATTAGCAAGATGTTCACATCGTTGCATTTACTGGATGTTTCGGGAAACAGTTTCCAGGACCAAACCATGAAGTCAACATTCTGCGAAGGGGTTTTTCCGCAACTCCAAATCTTAAAACTCCACCACAACAATCTGACCTCTTTTGAGACTGTGTGCAAGACTCTTGGCCATCTCAAGATGCTCACTCACTTAGACCTAAGTCAGAATAACTTTCAGCCCCGAGTCTTTTCCTCCTCCTGCAGGTGGCCACATTCACTTCAAATTTTTAATTTGTCCAGTACAGGGTTAGAGCAAATAGGCAGTTCTCTGCCACCCAACATTGAGATATTAGACCTGAGTGCCAATAACATTTTTACCCTTGACTTCTCACTCCCTGCCTTGAAAGAGCTCTACCTGTCCAAAAACAGGCTGCAAACTGTTCCCTCACTTGACAGGCTCCCTAGTTTGCAGGTCCTCAGTCTTGATCAAAACCAGATCTCACAGCTTCCCAGCAACCATCTCCTGCGTCTGCAGAGCTTGAAAGCTGGCCACAATCTCTACAATTGTTCTTGTTCCAGGGATATCCAGGACTTAGCAGCAAAACCATCATTACTGCCTGATTGGCCTCAGGATTATACATGCCATTCCCCTCTCAATTACCAGGGCTCCCTGGTAAAAAATGCACATTTTTCATCACTGCAGTGCAAGGCTCTGGTCACTCGTGGCTCAATATTCAACTTGCTGATATGCCTTCACCTTGTTTTTCTGTTTGCTTTCAGTGCTACAATTTCTGGACATTTTCTTTCAGCAATTCTGAACTGTTGGGAATCGTCAGGGAGCTAACAAGCAGATCACAATTGATTGTGGCATAAATTAAGTGTAAGCTACTCGACTGGGCTAGATTGAATTGTATTTGTACATTTTGTACTGTATTTTATGATACTATTTTATGACACTGCCTGTGTGGTGTAGTGGTCAGACGTGGGAGACCTGGTTACAAATCCCCACTCTCAATGAAGTGAGCTTGGGCCAGTCATTATCACTCAGCCTAGCCCACCTCACAGGGTTGTTGCAGGGGATTAAATGAGGTGGGGGAGAACCATGAGCTTATTGGAGGAAAAGCTAGGATATAAATGCAATAAAAATGCCTGCATAACAGGTGGTATATAAAAACCTCAATAAATAAACAAACTAGAAAATTAGAATTTGGGGTTGGGTATTGAATATTACTGGGCAAATGGTATGAGTGAAGAATTTGTAAAAAAATAAAATAAAGAGGGGGAGCAAGAGTATGCTTCAGTTAGAATATTCCATGTTGCTTTGACTGTAACTTTTCCCCTACCTGCTGAAACACAAATGTTATTTTTATTAAAAATTAACCACAGTCTTCCAACATCTTTTTAAAATAACCCCCTGTACTAAAAACTCATAAATATTTACAATTGTTATAAAGCAACAACAAAAAGGTAGAGTGTACATTTGATCTCCAGCTGCTTACAGATGCCATTTTTAAGAGAGAGAGATATATAATGATCCCATACACTGCATGCATCCCACAGAGCCTGCTCTAAGAGGGGTCATCCGTGGATGTGGAAAACAGCGAGAGGCAATTTCCATGTGCTCCGCTCCTTCTCCAGTGCCTCTGTGATCTGAATCTCCCATGGCTGCATTTGCCATGTTTAAAAACCATAAGAGACCCAGCCACCTATATGTCCAGTTTGGTCTTCAGAATCTTTTTCTCACCTGGGGGAGAGGGAGGTGTACAGGTACAGTCAGCCTACTAGAAAACTAATAAATCTATTATAAACAGTTTAGCAGGTTGTATGACCCTAGGAAGAAACCTTGGATGGGCCTTGGATTAATATACTTTCCTTCCCAGTCCCTCCTTCCTTGGACTGTTGAAAATAAGATGTCATTATAAAATTGTATTAGCTATCCCATGTTATCTTGAAAGGTAATACTCTTTGTAGACTTGAGAAGCTATATCTAATAAAATGAAAATTATAAAATAAAGAGGAAATGGGACAATGATTCTATGTTGGAAGTCAGCTAGAAGGTGTGGCTTTAGATCTTTTTAAAAGCCTCCCTGGCTAGTTCAGATGCTGCTCCCTTTCTGCTGTGACAGGCTTCATTGCCTGAGGCTCAGGGGCTGAGCTTCAGAAGGCTTACAGTGGTACCTCGGGCTACAGACAATTCAGGTTACATACACTTCAGGTTACAGACTCCGCTAACCCAGAAATAGTACCTCAGGTTAAGAACTTTGCTTCAGGATGAGAACAGAAATCGTGCTCCGGCGGCGCGGTGGCAGCAGGAGGCCCCATTAGCTAAAGTGGTGCTTCAGTTTAAGAACAGTTTTGGGTTAAGAAAGGACCTCCAGAATGAATTAAGTTCTTAACCCTAGGTAGCACTGTAATTAGGTAGGGCTCGGAGCCAACAGTTAGGAAGCAGTGGAAATTGCTTCTATACCATGCTGCTTTCTTCTGCAAAGTGCCCTTTTGCCATAGTTGCCATTGCCAAAGATTCACCATGCACGCTCTGAGTGCCACATGAGGCCAGAGTGGTGTATGCCCCCATTATGTTCCATGTCACCTGAATGATAATGGAGGGGTGGGATATAGGTCTTGGTCAGGGCCCAGGAGGCAACTGCCTCAGGCAGCAGGATCTCCAGGGGCAGCAGATCTGGCCTCCAAGGAAGGCATCACTGTCGGCAGCGGTGGCCCCCACCTTGTGGCTCACAAGCTCTGCCCCCTCCTCAGCAGTGTCCCCCATGCCTCCTCCACATCAGACTCTCGACAAATAGGAGGCACTGCTGGTCTCCTCCTAACCCTAGGAAGGCCTCCTGGGGTCTTCACCCACACAGAGTGATTCAGAGCGGGCCTTTGATTCCCATTTCAACCATCAGGTAAGTTTGATTTGACCACCCTGTCCCTTTTTCCTGCCCTTCTTCCCAGGCTCTCAATAAATCTCAGTGGAAATGGTGTAATGTACGCTACTGTTTTTCTGGGGCAACATTGCACAATAACTGAGTCATGATGTGGACTAAGTTCTGCTACTCAGTAGGGTTCATAGCTGTCAACGTTTCCCTTTTTTGAAGGGAAATTACCTTATTCCGAATAGGATTTCCCTTAAAAAAAGGGAAAAGTTGACAGCTATGGTAGGGTTTATGGCCAACCACAGCCTATATGGAATGTGCAAGTAGTTCCCATCTCTATGGGGTTCGTCTCTCTGCTCTAGGGCCACCTTTCACTTTCCAAACACCATTGCTTTCATGTCTGCTTCTTTTCTCTCTCCCCTCCCCCAAATTCCAGAATGGGGAACAATCATGTTCTGGGCTATATTAAGGGAGTAGGGAGCATCATCCAAAAATAAATTGCCCCTCCAACTTTTGGGGTTGGGGAAACAGGGGTTGCGTTCCTGGCTACAGAATGTTGAAATAACATTCCAGAAGTCTGGAAGCAGAGAAGCTATTCCACTTGCAGGTTAAAGCAGAAGAGCAACGGCTGTTTGCTGCCTAACTCTTCACACCCAGAAGCCCTAGCCAATGTTACCACAGGGCCAGTTAGTTCTCTCCCTTAGCCTGCCTGTCCATTTCTTGCTGCCACTGCTAGGCCCCAATCTGCCCTTTCTAGTGCTTCAAGGACAGCTGCCAGGAAATGCCTGGGCCACAGACAGAAGGATTAAACATTAACGGTAACCCTATCACTCTGGTAATGCTATCTGCTTCTCACAGCTCCCATGGGGAAAGCATTAGGGAAATGAGAGCGCAATACAGTCAGCCATGGATGCTGGGCAGGTGGGTACTGCAGAGGGGAGCCCTGCATGAGCTAGTCAACATGCAGGGCGTTGTAGAGAACACACTTTCTAGGGAGCTGAGAACTGTTCTGTCTCCACTGCACCCTGCTCAAGGTTTCCATCTTCTGTTTGAGTTCTATGTTGATATTGATGTCCACCAGAATTTGGGACCTGGCTGCCTGGTTGTACTTCTCTCTCCAGATTCCCAAGGACTGACTCTCACTGACACCCCAAACTGAGCTGTCTCCGCTGTGTTTCCTTACAGGCTGAACAGGAAGTGCGTGTTCAAGCAGCTGTGGGAATTCGACAGATACCAGGTATAGTACCGTACTCAACAGCTGGAGAATGGGAACCCGCTTTCTTTGGGGATGGCTGCATAGCACCAAAAAACTTTGCTGTATCCTATTCTACACTATTCCTTTTTCATATTGGCGAATTACATATAAGCAACAATAACATTTAGGGGAAACAGGAACCTTCTCTGCAGCCTACAGTGAGGAACGACCTCTTCTTAGCAAGAATAAAAATGGCCTTGAGGAGTGACATGTACAGATGTGAGCAACGAGGGACTAGCAGGAATTGGCAAAAGCTAATTTTCCTTGTCCCATTTTTACTGATGGCACCTTTTTGTAATAGTAAAGATTGTCTTCCACTTTGACAACCCCTTCCTGCTTTCAGGTCAATGCTGCCTCCTTACCATTGCGGGCTGTCTTCTCCTCTATTTCCATATGTGGTGTGGGAATAAATGTCTGTTGCCTTCTTGATCCAAGAATGTCTTTAGCGAGTAGTTACTAGGTACTGTTGCACTTCACTTCTCAATCCTGTCAATCTTTATTATGATTAGAAAATCTAGCTGAAACACTCTGCCATTGGCCCTAAACCCCTTGGCTTCATGATGTCACCTAAAGGACCCAGCGTCCTTCAGAGACCTTTACAGAAAAGGTTGTGCCTCTCAGAGATTCCAGGGAGCCTTTGGGGCTGAGAGATGGACTACATGTGCTGAGGCTTCAGGGTTCTTGTAAGATGCTAAGGGGGAAATGGGTGTTCCTAAATCAGCTGCATAACTCTTGATTCAGCAGTTCCACAGCTAACCCTTTAAAATAGTTTCTCTGCCGCAACTTCCACTTTATCAAACTGCACGACAATAGTAGGCCACAAGCTTAACACGAGTCAACAGTGTGATTCACTGTTAAAGAGAGGGGTTCCCCAGGGAAAGCAGTAGGGCAGAAAGAAAGAAAGAAAGAAAGAAAGAAAGAAAGAAAGAAAGAAAGAAAGAAGCATTCAGACATGCAGCTTTAAAGTATAAACCTGTACTTAGAAAGCACAGGGCAAAGTGTGAGTGAGTCTTTCCTTGCTCTTAATCTCTCCTGAGATTAAAGCCAAAGGCAGCATGTGCTGCACATGTTGTCTTATGGAAATCATGTAGACTTTACCAACAAAGGTTTCATTCAGCAAAGGCCACTTTAAAAAAACCTGCATTGCTTTCAGGTTCTGCCCATGTTATTGCTTTGTATTGATTCTGGCTGGGATACTTAGGAGTCATTTCCACTTGATCTCTTTGTGAATTGCCCCATCCCAGATCATTATTATTCAGAAATGATAATTAATAAAGTCTCTCCCTGTGCCCATAGGATGCTGAAGAATAAGGTGGCTGTATTTCTAATTAGTACTCTTGCTTGATGTTCCTTCCAGGCTCATTGAAACAAGACAGCTTCCTGGTGGTGAACAAAGATTCTAACCGTCTGATATTCATTAGTAAGGCAGACAAAGGAGTGCAGGTGAGAAAGCTCCTAGAGCAGGGGTACCCTCCAGATATTGTTGTACTCCAGTTCCCATTGGCTCCAGCCAGCATGGCCAATGGTCAGGAATGATGCTGTTGTGTTCCCTAGCCCTAACCCCATTCAAGCACAGAGGAAGACACATCTTGGAATGCTGCCAGCCCCTGAGTTCTTCCAGGCCATAAGGCATTGCCTTATCAGATTCAGAAGACTCACTCTCAGGGCAGTCTCCATCACCTCAATGTCATAAGAGTCAATGGCTCCAAAATAAGGCAGTGGCCCTTTTAGGCTACAGACAGCTCCTTTGAGCGGATAGGTCCAACTAGTTCTAGGCTAGCCAGCCTTCAGTTGGCTATGGGAGATCTGTGCACAGCTTCTTTCTAGACGCAAGATACATTAGCCAGCTTTCTCACAGTGATTTGCCCAAGGTCCTGACCGCATCTGCCTTGTCTGTATTATCCCGTGAACCAGACACTGACGACAAAGAAAGATGGGGAAATTACTGGAAGGATTTGAGAGAGACCTCAAATCTTCAAGCACTAATTGAGCACTGCTGTCTCTTTCCAGGAAGGATGCTTCACCATTGATGGAGTCTTCAGTCTGGACACTGGGCAGGTACAACATACCCAGGATATTGTTCTGTGCAGCCCTTGCAATATATAACTTGATGATGTGCTGAGCTAGGGTGGAACACTTGGTGCACCAATTTTGATTTCTGACATGACAGCTTTGATTTCACAAATGAGAGCTAGTTCTTAGGAAATTTTGAGAGGTTCAAGTCCCCACCACCACAACCTAGGGCAGCTGTTGTGGCAGTGAAGTCTATAAATTAATTTTGCACTGTGTGAAGAAATACCTTATTTTGTTTGTCTTTTCTGCCAATTAGTATCACTAGATGTCCTGAGTTCTAGTATCACGGCAGAGGGACTTTATCTCCACCATGCATAATTTTATAAATTTCCATTATGCATTCCCCGGCCTTTTTTCTAAGCTAAGCTAAGCTACTGAGCTTTTCTTCCATGTGAAAACGACAAATGTATTAGCATTAGCAGCATAATTTGTTGCAAACAAGTTCCAAAATGAATTTGGGAAAGAATGTTTTCACTAAATATTTCAACATTTAATTTGTAAAAAAGAAAAACGGTTCATGCTATACAGTAGGTTGTATTCAGGGAATAAACCAGTAAAGAGGGCTTCAATTTGTCAAGTGTCTGGAGCCCTGGTACCTAACCCAAGGCCTTATCTGGGTTGATATGCACTAATGCTGGGCATGCAGATTATCATTTTTGTCCTTCACTCCAGGACAAGCTCTTCCTGGAGCAGCTGCAACCTCTGCTGGACATGGTGCCTCTGGGCTACAGTGTGTCCCTGCTGGTTTGTGAAGCCCATCACGACGGAACCCAGACACAGATTCAAGCCTTTGTCCAGAAGGTGAGGGAGACT